AAGGAAAACGTAACATGGATACAATATGTTGTTTCTCAGAGTGTAAAATGTTCTATGATTTCTTATAAAAGAAACTGAAAAACTTACCTGCTTAGATTGTAAGTTTCTTCATTTACAGCGCAGTAATGGACTACTCATAATTATTTCGCTAATTTCTGATAAGACATTCTTTTCCGTGCCATACAATAATTAACGAGACGTGTTTTCGATGTTTTTTTTTTACTTTCAGCTGCGAATTCTTCACTTGCGCGCACAATTTGAAAGTTAACGTGAAAAATTTAAAATAAACAAAGCAGATGAATTACCTTTCTCTTTAAGAACGAACTATTTCAGTACATGGCCGAAAATTCTGTCGTAAATTAATGCAAGATGTGGAGGAGAAATCAAAACTAATTTTGGCACAAAGAAAAACAAAAATGAAAAAAAAAGAGGAAGGCGACCCATCTGTTTGTTCCAAAAAAAAAAAAAGAAAAAAAAATTAATGAATACGAATTACATTAAACACTTAGAAAATCGCGGTTCATTAAGTTTGAGAGGTAGCACTAAAAACACACTGAAAAATGTAAAAGCAAACACAGGGCAAAGCAAAACTTGTAGAATTAAAATTATTCTGTGAATCGGATTAAGCGAACCCTCAAAACAATGAGAGAAATCGGAACCGATGACATTTCCGGAGTGTAGCATTTATTACAACAAAAAACATTAGCAGTTATTACAGTGTAATATGCGTTTGTGCATGCAGTTCACCCAGCTAACTTCCAAAACCAATGAATTTTACAAACTTTATTTCAGAGTCCATCATAAACAAGGTTGCACACAGTCTCTGAGGATACCGTAAAAACTTGGAATACTTTAAAATAATTACTTTTTTCTTTTACACACAGTTAGAATCAAAACTATTTCATACAGCTGGAAATTTTCAGCCGTATCTGCAGCAACCTTGCTTATGGTAATCAGTCATGTTAATAATATAATTCTGCATGATGAGATTTCCGGAAATGCCCGAACGATGCTCTAATACGTCCACGAGCTCGAGGTGAAGATACACCATACAAACGAACGAGAATGATGAAAATTCCAAATATTTTTGTAGGTTATAAAAAGTAAATCTTAGGCAAAATTTTGACAAATTCTAATGATGATTTTACAGTCCTGTAAGAAACGAACTAACGGAATGATTTTGCATGGGTTCATTACATTCTATTGTAATGAATACTGGACAAAGAAAAACTGAAAAGAGCGAGAGAGATTTGAGTGATCTGATTCGACAGCTATTTGGAAGAGGGCATTCCCGCTTTGTGATGGATCGAATACTATCCGGTGCTACTGTAGCCCAGAGTTTACTTTTTGGTCCCGCACTTTCCTGGCGTAGTTTCCCTCTTTCTAACACACATCAATGCTATCTTGGGTTACAGCAAAAAGCTGCTTCATACATTTTCCGGAGCTGAATAGAAAGCTGCGGTTATGTGGGGACCAAGAGTGCCATTCACTTGGGGGTAGATGTGGCTTGAGTCGATCTTCTTTTGATAAACTCTGTCAAATTGTGGATAGATTGATTGAAATAATTATGAAGGACTAGTCACTAGTCACACCAGTCATCTCAGGGAAAAAAAAGCCATGAAGAAATGTTATGGTCCTAAATCAATCAATCAATGAATCAATTTCTTGGTCGAAATTTCAAAGAACTCGAATAATTGTAATTAAGAAGTCTCAACAGACCTTGCAGGTCTGATTTCTTTCCAGAGCCTATGGAGTCAATCGAAAAGTAATGTTCTTTCCGTATGCAACAAATCAAGAAAAGCACCATAATTAATTTTTACTTTTACTAACTCGGAAAGCTTAAGAGAAGAAAATGGTGAATTGAGGATGCAAATTTTCGATTTTTTTTTTTTTTTTGGTTTCATGGTAAAGTAAAGCCATTCCATGTTGGGATTTTAAAAAGCAGTTAGTCTGTAAATATAAAGTATGAATAAAGGACTCAAAGTGGATTTTAAGAATGAGAAGTAATGCAGGCTTGCTTATTTATGGCATGAAGAAAGTAACCCCCACTGGCACACCATTTGTTTAGGCATGCATTATTTCAGGAATACCATCGAAAAATTCACCAATTTTGGACTTCAAATAACACCAACTTCAGTTGTCTAAACATAATACTTGCATCAATGCAATTACTTCAGAGATACATTAATTTACAATTAATGAGCAAAATAACGACACATCATTTTAAAAAAAAGAGAAAAAAAAGTGAGAGTGTGTTCAGCAAAAAGCCATATCATACTCAAATTAGAAAAATAACTTTAGAATGCTGACTGGCACCATAAACCAAAAATTAGTGGAACAAACAAAAAAACGTTGTGCACCCCGGTTACTAAAAGTTTACTTGGTGTTATCAGACTGTACACATTCATTAATTGGTAGAATTTTATGAGATATTATTTCACGGAGAGAACTATACTGCGATAAATGACTCCGTACCAGTAATTCTGGTTAAGTATACAAGTTTGCATACTAAAAGACCATTCAGGGGAACTTGAAATGCAAAAATTTAAAAAAGAGACAAAACATGGGAGAAAGGACACTTTGGTTCAGAAAAAACACCAATTCATAGACCATTATCGTTTTGGGAGAGAGAAAAAATACTTATTTTCTACTGATTTTACTTCTCACAAGATCCAAACATTGATTAATTCCCTAGACCATTCCAAATGAAAGTAAAATGGACACAAAAGTAAATTGTGCTGACCAGGTACTGGGTATTTTTCCCCTCATCTAAAGATAGACTAGAAGTAAAGTCACAATAAAAATTGAAAAAACATCCTAACACAGACCATACTTTAAGGTTTATAACTCTCGATCATCACCGGGTACTGATAGCTTTCTTATTTAACATCAGCATTCTGAAGGGACTCCAAACTAACCGCAAATTGACCATTACTCGATGAGAGAAATGAAAATAAATTGTTTTAGAGCCACGCTGCTCATTCAGTCAGCACTGAAAGAGTGCTGATTATGTACTTTCAGTCTTAACTCCAGGGCAGGACAGCACATTTTGAATTAAACACTCTACAAAGCCAAAAGCAAAAGCTATGTAACCGAAAAGGGGAGATAATTTTGTTCATTATCTTTCCTCGAGTTTCATACAAAAGGATATTGAGTGTACTATCATATTCCTGCAAGTAAAACCATAGAGTACTATGAGGCAGTTGAAGGGATTATGTCACAATATGTAACAATAGAACATCCAAAACTGTTGTTGTGATTCCCTCAATTCTGCTATTTTCAAAAACCATAGTCTTAGAACAATACACTTGGGGTGAGTGGATGAAAAAAAAAAAAAACCTCAATCCAAGAGAGCTCATAAGTTTGCTGTAAAAAATGGAACGCAGCAATGTATTTCAAATCAACTCATGTTTAACATGGATAAAGAGTGAGGTGTGTCATTTCTGCGATTCATATCTGACTACGTAACTTGAAATTGATGAACTTCACACAGATGATGTAATTGCAAATTTGTGGTTTAAAGTAATTAAATTTCACTGAGACAGCTATTTGACGAATTAAATTATTCCTACTAATGTTATGAATGGTGATATTAGGGTGAGGCTTCTCCACTACATCAAAACGTATGCAGAGACAGAGCAATTTAAATGGAAGAAATTTAAATGGAGATGAACATTATTATGAACTATATAATCTATATCATATGATAGTTCTGAAAAAATTAGGTCTTCTTATGGGGAGCTTACTTAGTTCCTAGGTGTGGTTATCTGCTGAGGTTTACTAGAAGAAGAAAAATGTTTTAGGAAAGACTGAGGGTCAGATGAAAATGCTCACTGTGATAATGGGCCTGTTGCAAACTTTTGCTAGAGCAAAACTAAGAGTTGTTTCTTATAGATAATGCCTCAAAAATCACGATGAGCGCATCGGCAAACTCTGAAATGCACTCATAACTTCACAATCTGCGTAAGAAATTTGCGGTTTTTTGAGCTTCCCGCTTCAAAAACGATACTACGGCACAGGTGAACATTTTGTAAGAGGAGTCGTTCCATCGACGGCAATAATCATCATAGCCGACGCCAATCCGCCAAAACACGTTTGATGGGACGAGATAACACCTGAACTGGATTAGACCAGATAACAATCGGTGTGTTAACGTTCATATTTTCCACGCCCGAATTGATTGACCTTGAACTCTCCTTGAATTACGCGCGGAACTGCGTGCAAGCGTCGGCCATGATGAATATCGCCGACGATGGAGCGACTCCTCTAACAAAATGTTCACCTATGCCGTAGTATCGTTTCTGAAGCGGGAAGCTTAAAAAACGCAAATTTCTTACGCAGATTGTGAAGTTATGAGTACATTTCAGACTTTGCCGATGCGCTCATCGTGATTTTTGAGGCATTATCTATAAGAAACAACTCATATTTTTGCTCTAGCAAAAGTTTGCAACAGGCCCATTGACGTTCTATGGAGCTTTTGAAGAATTTATTGATGATCGTAAGTAGAAATACAAAAATAAAAAACAGCTAGGGACTACAAACATTAAAACCTTTTTAGGAGCATCGGTCTGGAAAGTTGAAGTTCTTGCCTTGCTTAACCTGACGTAAGATGAAATCTAAGAAATTTTGGGATTCAATTAATTCAAAATTTTAGATTATTTTTGTTTTTTTTTTAAGATGGCTACTTTCTTCAAAGAATCAGTTACGTGCTCATATCAATCATGAGATACTTACATCAATTATTTAGAGTGATTTACTTTACTAAAGGGGTAGTGTGAAAAAACTTGCAGACTTTAACTTTCCTCCTAATTTAATCTTATTATAGCAGGTCTTTGAAGAGATATCGCGTGCAACAGCAGAATTTCAGGACTGCAACGATGAATAAATATTAAAGCTTCTTGTTGAAAGAAGTAGAATTCCTTTAAAAAATTACATTAACAAGCATGTGTTAATTAAAACAATTTCAAAAATAAAATTGACAAATGAAGTTGCGGACTTACCGGAAGGGAGTTTTGACTCAGAATCTTGTGAGCTGCTTTTTGGAGACTGACTACCACCACCTGATTCTAAAGAAAAAAAGAAAAGTAAGTTCAAAATTACTTTCAGACTATTATTTCTTATGAAAAAGAGGTTGTTCAGTGATTCAAAAGACTTAATTTATCTGATTTCAGACACTCCTATCATAAAAAAGTCTTCGTGACCTTTTTTTTTTCTTTTCAAAGAAAACCTTACATTTGAGTAATCTCTTAGGATGGCAAAGCTAAAAAAAATTGTAAAAAAAGTTAAAAAAGTTGAAAGAAGAATGTTGGGCTGAAATTTTTGATAGCACCATTTCAAAAGGGAAAATATTATTAAATGCTAAATCTTACTGCTGTGTTGCCAAAGAAAGTAGTAAAAGCAAAAATTAATTTTTGGGAGAATGGAAATAGTAACCTTTCGGCAGAAAATTTTATTGAAAGAAGCCCCCGTTCTTTGCAGAATTGACACTAATCATCCTAAAAACACAGAAGCCCATTGGATGATCAAAAATAGATGTTTTTAATTTTCAACAATATAAAATGGGCCTTTGACATTTTCATGCGAGAAAAGCCCTGGGCGAGTGTTATATTCTGCTTGCTTTTGTGGTTACATTTTGGACCTCTCAATGGATACCATCAGGATTACCTTGTCATGTGACTTGGAGAATAGCTGCTCCAACTAACTGGTTAAGAACGAAAAATTCCAGACCACGCATGTATTTTTGTTGCTGTTTGTGGACTTCCTAATCAATTATGAACTATTCACTCTTTTTCCTCATTTAGGGACACTCTAGTCGAAATCTCCAAAATTTACTCCCATGTAATTCTCAACAGACACACGTATGTTTCTAGCTTGACTTTTTAGCATTCCTTAAGCATGACCCATATTTGAGTGTATTATTTACACTGATTAAACTAACTGGATAAAGTTGGGGTGTAGAATAGGGGTGCAGAAACTTCATGATCTCACTAGCATGCAAAAATGAGAAGGCTGTGAAAATTGGGAAGGCCAGCTCACATTAAGTTAAAATCAAGGGTTTCTTTGAAAATCATGTGATGAAATTCGCATGTTTTTTTTTTCTTTTTATATAAAATCGCGTATTTTTAGCAAAACTGTGGCAATTTGTGAAAACAGGAATGAAGAGGTCATAGGATTGAAGTTTTTGGAGGACGTACGGGATCTTGAATGGAAAAGCTAAGAATTTTCTGCACACCTGCAGCAGAGAGCACTTAAGCTTACCTTGTTGTGAAGTTCCAGGAGTTGGTTCTTCGAATTCTGGTTTGACTTTGGAGGAGGGCTGATCAGAATCATTTCCTATAGGGGTACTGTCTTCAGAGGGAGGAGGGGAGGTGTCCGACTGCGATAGTCTTGAAGGAGGAGAATGGTGATAATCGGGCATATTAACTTCTAGAAGGTCCGGAGGGCCATGAACACCTGTAACATTTGAAAGAGATTAATCAATGACAGATAGTTGGGAAGCATCAAGTCGGAAGTATTCTGTGAACTATTGATGAGGGATGTCAATAACATAGTCTACGAAGCTACCAGAAAATCAAGCACTTTGTGAAGTATTTATGAACACTTAAAAGAACCTTTTTCATAATTTTCTCCTACTCATACCGTTTTTTCTCCGTAACGTGACTTTTCATGAAAATCTTGGTAAGCTCGAACAATTACACTTTGAGGAGGTGCAGCACTGCTGACTCTATCGTTGCAAGGACTTGAGTCCGAGTCAGCCATTGTTGGTTTTTTTGGAGGTAGATCAAGTTTGCATTCTTTTTGAAAGTCCTGTTAGACATTAAATGTTTCATTGTTTTTTGAAGACAAGCATTTTTTGCTGAAAAGTAGTAAAGAGTAAAATTTAAGAGTTTTCGAGTACCTTTCAAAGAATGAAACACTTTTGAGGCTTTAAATTTAAAATATCATACTCAAGTACTTTTAAAGCACTTTTCAAGGCTGCATAAACTGTGAATAATTTTATAAAAAAAGTTTAGAGACTTAAAGTGCTCCTTTAAACTGACATCTGCGCACACATTGTGTGAAGATCTTCTATCTAATTATCTAAGTATAGATAATATGTTCAAAGAAAGCCATATTTTGAATCAGTTAAGTAGAAAGGAACACCGTCAAAATATTTAAAAATGCAGTTAAAACAGGGAGAAAGGGGTTTTAAGAATTTCAGAAAATAGGCATAAAAGTGTCAAAGTTGAGAAACTTGAATACCTCAATCTCCGAGATAGCTTAAGATTTAATTGCCTGACATTAACTGGATTACTTACTCTTATACTATTTTCCTTTGCTGAAATATTGGAGGTTTATTGAAGCCTGCATGAAAGCTCAGACATCAATCCAAAAAAATAAAGAGGAAACATAGTTTTTCCAAGTAATGTGACACTTGGGCAACAATAGTGTTCTTCAACTTTAAAAATAAATAAGTAATTCTAGCCTCAAAAAACACCCAAAAAGTTTTATCCACAAATGGACGGAGTTAAACAGAAAGGAACCAAGCCACATCGGGATCGAAACGAGAAAAAGAGGTTTGAAGTTAAGCTCCTGCATAAGACTCAATGTAAAAGATAAACTTCAAGTTCAATTTCTGCAAAATTTGCTCCAACAAAAACTTTGAATTTTCGGTGATAGATAGTAGAGCAGTGGTTGAGTTCAAAACCACACATAACTCAATTTTTTCCAAAATGTGGGTTGGTTCCTTTCTACTTAACTCAGTCCAAATATCAGTAAAATAGTTACTTGTTAAAAAGAAAAAGCTTAAGGGTGCTTATCAAATGACCCATACTGAAAATACCATAACCTAGGTAACCAATATTTATTGTAATAAACTGGTGTAGGTCTCGTTTAATTGCTTCTCACTTCTTCTTTGAAATGATACTAAGATCAGCTTAATCGACTGCTTTTTTGGTAATTAGAGCACCAGGCCGTGTCTTTTAGGGTCATCCTCTATGAATTTTGGCTTGCATACAGGTTTAAAAACTTTTGCTACTTTACTAGAAGAGGATGTTCCTCAATATTTTCCAAGATATGGGTAAGTGTTGTAAATTCTTCAACATTTATCTCAAAGTCACCCCTTGGAAATTGTAGGAAACTTTTAAGAACATGTACTTTTATCAAACGTTGGTGAAAATCCACAGGAGGGCAGTGAAAGCATTTTTAAATACTTAGAGCCTTTAATCCCATTACTGATACCCTTCAGTAATGGGATTTTGTGAAATAATGGGGAATGGTACAGCACTTACCAGAAGATGGTGCATCACTATCATCATCATGCCTTTGATCCTCGGAGTCTGTACTTGACTTATGTGATTGGTTTCTATGCTCATCAGATCCTGACAACCTTCTTGGTCTCCCACGCTTTCGCTTGGGTGCTGTTAGTGCTGAGCCAAGAAGAGGATTTGATGCCATTGAGTTCTGTAGTGATCGCTTGGTTGGTACGTGTATTCTATGCAATGAGGGGGGTTGGGATTGCTGCTGCTCTTGCCGCTGTTGTTGTTGCTGTTGTTGTTGCGAGGATGGCTGGGTTCCTTGCGTAAAACCAGCAGACGAAAGAAGACTTGATGCAATGGAAGGGAGATCACACCGTTCTTCATTTACTTCAGTTAGACCTTTGATGCGGAGTGTTTCGGCAACTTTGAGGAAGGCCGTTAGACGGTCTTGGTCGACGCTCACTTCACCTCGATACATGAAGTCTAGTAACGACCGCATGTCTGCAAACGGAACATCTTTTAGTATCACAATGGGATGTTTGTCTGGGTGTCCAGTGAACAATGCCTGCAACACAGAGAAAATATATTATTATTTTTTCACAGTTAAAATTAATAATTTTTGCGGCGCTAACAATAACAGCAGGAAAACGACAATGCACTGAGAGAAAGATGTTAGAAAATAAAAATAGTCACATGTGCAACCAAGAGAGACCTATGCTGCAGCTTTCATAGTGTGAGGTATCGACCGTCCAAATTAAGAGACTAGACTTGATAACTTCAAAAAGTAGAAGGGGTATGCAGAATTGAGGAATTCAAATATTACTTCAAACACTTTAAAAAAATCTCATTTGGTAATTGAAGGGACCAGGTACAGAACTATGTGGACAAGCTTAACATTAAAAATGGTATGTGAAATGAGTGTATTGCAAGAATGGCCCAGGGGCCTTGCACCCAAAATTTCTCTGCCTGGTTATGGAGGTGGACTCGCATCTCCTCCATGGCCTTGACTTTCGGAGCTGTTTTCCTTACTCTTGAGTTACAAGAAAATAAAATATTTAAATAGATCATAAAATAAAATATCAACCAGCAGTTAGATCCAGTTGTCTCAGAATGAATTTTATTTACCTTTTTCATGAGCAAAATTTATATACATACAGCTGACATTAACATTGTTGCTAGATGGACATATTGTCATTTCAAAGGAAACTGGCGACATCGTTGTGCTTCTCATACAATTTTAGGTGAGAAAAAAACTTCGAACACAAATCTCTGTGGCGCTTAAGAGCTTCATTCAAGCACCTTCTAAAAATTAAGCACTTTCTAGGCGTGCTCCAGAACATACAGTACCATTGCCTTTGAGAATAGATAGGCTAAGACTACGTTCCTGTGACGTCACACTGGTAGATGAAACTCGGCCGCGGTTTAACATGTGTTCTTATAGGAGAAGGCGTGACGCGTGTTCCTTTCATGCTGATATCTTGTTAGGGGTTGATCTGATGCAAAAATTCACAAAGACCTTTTCGAAAGAGGATGAAATTTTACTTCAGAAAGCTAACTAATCCATGTATGACTTTGTCTGATAATTGAGGAAAGGAAAGTTTAATACCGAAAATCGTTACTCCACTAAGATTCAAACGCGCCGCTCACGCAACTTCGGCCAATCCAGGGCCACTCTGATTGGTCCACGCAGCAACTGCCTCACTCATCGATGCACCAATGACCCAGAGATGCTTGTTGCTTTCGGTAAATATCTACTGGCTTGATGTCACAAAACTGACTAGTTACGGCATCTCCAATCCCGTAGGCAACGACAGTACTTTTAGGGTCTTATGTAAGAAATTCAAAATCAAGCACATTTTAAGCTCTTTTTGAGGCTGCACGAGCCATGAAAGGGAATGGCTCTTAATTTGTGAACATACTCAGAAGTGATGTCAATCACAGGACTTTATGTGCAAAACTTCACAACTTTCGTGTTATGTAGGAAGCAATTACGTCACTGGGCAGTTTCCTTGTGAAATCACAAACTAGAAATAAGATGTATTTAGGTATGACCTGTTCGCTCTAGGCAGCTATATTTCATCCACACAGAGGAAACAAACAGGAAAAAATGAGGTGGGTACACTTATAAATTAGCAGATACTTGGATGAGAGATAAAATTGCTTTACCTGAAAATAAGGACTGCAAGCTGAGAGAACCATTTTATGAGCTTTAAGGAACTGCCCTTCAACTGCTAATGTGACATCAACAAATGATTCATCATGCAGCAGTTGATCAAAAACTGATAACAAATTTGACTGGTGGTTATTCCACCGCAGGCAAAACCTCTGAGAGGTGTGGTGAGATGACATTATGTCCTGCTTGTTTGATAGACTTGAAGTTAACAGACTAGTAACGGTTTAACAATTGCTTGAAGCATATTCCTTGATTGTATCATAACTGCAACAAATTAAGCATACAAAAAAAAAAAATTAATATAAAGGTGAAATGAAATACCAGAATTTTCATCAACAAACTGAAAAAATTTAACTTTTCAGAGGTATGGTATCCTTTAATGGTTCCGAATTCGGTCTACATTTTTGGAATTATTCTCTCAAAATTGTTTATCCGATTGAGAGTAAGGGCTGCTGAAACTGAATTTTGATAAAAATTGAGATTTCAAGAATTAATTAAATCAGATCTAAATTTGTGAAGTTACATCATTATCCTCATGACGTACAATTCAGATGAAGAACTATTCTGTGGGGTTGTAGTAAATCCAAGGAAGGTTACAGTTGTCAGTCCTTGCATGTAAAAGTAAGTAATGACAGGGTTGCGTAGACCAGAAAACTGGTTATGAACCTTAACAGTTACTGTATGAATATAGAGGGCAAACAGTGTGTGCATTTCTGCGATTCTTGAACCGAATAACAAAGTTCTTTAGCAGCCTGGCAATCCCTGCGAAGGATTTGAAGTGAGCCTAGTTGGTCATGGAGACCGATATTATGCTCTGATCAGATTTTTTCGTCACTGCAGTTTATTTAATGATGGATAGGCAATGACCTATGTGCAAAAGTAGAATTTTTTCCATCTTACACCCCAAAATGAGAAGATGAGGTGCGAGCACAAAATATTAATGAGAATTCAGACTCAAGAAAGCTATATTAAAGTTAAATCACCCTTTCATAGAGCTGACAATCTGACAGCATTGCGAATGAATTTCGAAACAAACGAAGGCAAAGATACCGACAGGGTAAACACACATAGGATACAAAAAAAAAATAAAAAAAATAAAAAACATGCAATGAAAGTTCAAGAATGAGATGGAAATGTTGTGGTAAAAAGAATAGAAGAACAGAGTANATTGGGGGGGGGGGGGTGCATCGGGTCTGATTACTAGTTGGGAGGATTCCTGGGAACAATGACTTTCATAGGTAGATGAAATACCAAGTGGGAAAGGTGAGGTGTTATGGACACTTCATAAACAATAAACACATTGTCTAGAAGTATGTATCAGGTGCCAAGCTGATCACCGATGGTCTTGTTTATGCTTGATGCATTCTTGTTTACAAATTCTCATTGGATCATTCAACAAGTACTCCAAATACTCTTTCATAATGCCTCTAAGGATGAAATGTGAGGACACAACAAAGAAAGATCAAAGTCCACGACTACTTTCCTTGAAGTATGAGTTGGAAATTTAGGTAGGTAAACCGGCTACTGACAAGAGACCTCGAAGGACTCCATGATGAAAAGTTGAGCCGTATGAATTGTGCTACTATCAAAATGTTGACTGCTGTTTAGTAATTGAAAAATGGTGGAACTTAATTGACTGACAGTTTCTTGGAATATTTTGTGTGACATGAAAAAGAGTCAATAAAAATTTAAACAGAAATAAAATGTTGGTACAATAAAACAGCAACCACACAAATCAGATACAAGTTTCGAGACTTTCGAAATGAATGTTTGAATTCAATCTAAACAATACCTATCTATTGTATGGGTAAAACACCGTCTATGAGTAAAAACCTGATGAATGAGAATTCTTCTTGTCCTACAACCCTGACAGATCTCTAGCTTCGATAGTTTCTTTTTTCTCAGTTACTTGAGTGATAACCATTCTGCTCTATTTATAGGATACACCCATGAATAAAGTTCTGCGAAAAAAATGAGACATGAGGGAAATTTTGCGAGAAACAATGCAATGAAAATTGTATTTAAGTTCTCCAACGACATTGATGAAAATTTGAGTTCTGTGAAAGTAAGTAAGGGTCAAAGACCAACAAGGGGAGTTTGCGCTAGTCTAAAGCCGTAAAATAGTTTCCATTCTCACAACAAAAGGCCTACACTATTGGACTGACACTAATGCATGACGCTCTCAAGTCTAAAACTAGACATTTTAAATATGATAAGAATATGTTGAGGTGAAAGAAAGCGGAGATTCGCCCTGATTAGCAATTGAAGATGATTTAATTAAGTTTGCAAAAGCCGACAAACGGAACAGTCCATTACCTGGGCCACAGACGAAATATTCATTGATGTAATTGATCTTCAATGGTTAAAGCAGGGAGCTAAAATACTTTGGTTTGCGACAAAAGATTTTGATCACCATGAGTTTGAAAATGTATTCTCTTATCACTTAAAGTATAAGCTACTTGGAAAAATTATCTCTGCTGGAAATTAACTTTAAAAGGTATTGAACACAATTCATTGGAAGTGATACGAGGGACGGAAAGATCATGGGGAGAATGATGAAGAAATTTCAGATAAAAACATCCACTTTCAACTTCAGTTAAATGAACTGTAATCAGGTCAGTAAGAAATAGGGGGCCAACCAAGGAGCCAAACTTAGGGTTGATTAGGAAAAAAATAATACCAATGACTCTATCAAAATCAAAACTTACGCATACCTGCACACATTAATCCAAAAATAACAACAGATACTTCGAAATTTGTAATCAATAAATTTCATAAAAATAGGGGAAAGACTTGCCCAGCCCTTCCGCCATGTTGAAGTTGAAGAAGAGAAACACTCCCCTCCACAAACTATGAACCATCGTTCAAAATTACCACTGATCCACAACCCTAAGAAGCGCTGAAAATTTGGTATATGAATAAATGATTGACCTATATTGAGAGGAAAACTTTAGATTGAGCACCATACAGCCAAGAAGACTCGAAATTAGTGTAATTCCATGTGATAAACACAAGAACAGACATAGATTAGAAGGAATTCGCGGAAGATAGGACACTGATAGGGTTACTGAAGTCGACGACCCTCCTGTTCAAACTAGGGACACATCACAGCACTAAAAAATGTAATTTATACAAAATGTGTAATGAGAAGTTTGTAAAATACTCGGAATATTTACCTAAACATTTCATAAATGTTTGTTCACTTAGGGATGTGAAATCCGTGAGGATCTAAAGTTTCCCTACGCACACTATCAGGCCGCCATGTCAGCACTGAGCCCGCGACAGTGCTGCTCCGCGTGGAGACGCACAGAACTTGCCCCCCCGATGTTTCTGCCTGATAAAATGAAAAATACAGGGTGTACCGAAAGCGTCGTTGCCAAGCGCAATAGAATTCCCGCACCCGTGAAGCACAGCGCGAGCTCTGAAATCGAAAGCAGTGAGTGATATTGTATATCGATGGCCAAAGAACGAAACTACGCATCTTCACGGCGGCGTCTCGAGATTACCAGTCCAATTTTAGTTTTGCAAAGAAAAACACGCCAACTTATTGGCTTGAAACTTACACAGATAAATCTGTTAAAACGGAATAAGAAGAGTCAATGGAGCTTTTTTTTTTTTAGGAAATTACGTTGTCCAGTTTTTACAAGAAAAAATAAAGTATGACAGGAAGTCTGCGACGTCGCAAATGGAGATAAGCGGTTTCGCACTTTAGCCATCGATATGCGACCAGGCGAGAAACTATAGGTAGGCTATGGTCACGAAATTCCGTGATGGCCGTATAACAGCGCGGAAAAGTAAGCACGGACCGGGGGGGGGGNAGCGAAAGGGCACCTCATGAAGGGGGTCTGGATGAACGGGGGTTGAAGGGAGAGGGCGGAGGCCCCCAGAAAATTTTGAAAGTTGAGTCAGCTCAAGGGCAATTGTGAAAGCTGAGTCAGCTCTAGGGCAATTTTGAGCTGATCCTACCGTTAAGTTGGTCCAATTACAATTTCAAGGATGAAACATTCTATTTAGGCTTGTGATGTTCAGGGCCGGATTAAGGGGGTGGCCACATGGGCCGCGGCCCATGGCGGCAAATATAGAGGGCGGCAAATTTTGCATTTTTTTTAAATGTATAGGTATAAAAAAATATCGGATTTAGAAAAAAAAAAAATTACAAACGAGAAAAGGAGACAAAATCTCTCATTTCCTGAGAGTATAGTAATTTTTAATTTTGTCATCTTTCAGTGATACAAGAGACAGCACCTTTAAGTAGTCGAGTTATGAGAGAAACCAAACACGCAATTTGGCCTGGAACGGCGCGGCGCAGAGAGCAATGATGACGAGGACTTGAGATGAAAAGGAGAAGCCCTCAGCGGCGCGGCGATCGGCATGTAACACATATTAGCGCCTATAAGATTGCACGAATACTTCACGCATTGCATCGAACACAGTGCGGTCATTGCGGTCAGCGTGAAACGGATAGCGCCTACAGGAATGCATGAATACTTCACGCATTGCGCCAAACACAGTGCGGTCAGCATGAAACGCATGACGCCTACAAGACTGCGTGAATACTTCACGCATTGCGCCAAACACGGGCGGTCTGCGCGGCGCGGCGGCGGAAATTAAAATCATTAAACCACATTCATGTTTGTTCTTTCATAATTTTTTTGTTCATTTCTTATGAATGAAAGGCCTTGTCCACACAGAGATAGATTTACGAAACTTAACTTTTGCTAGTAGTGTTGACAGGGCATTCCTAAAACATGTGTTCAACACGAGTAAACGCATCTGATGCACCCCTCCCCTGCTGGCACGTTCACTTGATGGTTTTTATTGATGTTTCAATACGAATGAGAAGGAGGCGGCAAAATACAGGCGGCCAATTGGCGGTAAGTAGGCAAATCCGGCCCTGGCGATGTTACAGATATTCGGTCGCATTTGATTTTCTCGGGAGGCGAATGGTCATCGTTTTTTCCAACTTCCCTGTGATTCATCGGGATTGCAAAGGTAGTTCTTTGACAATTTCGCACTAGAGCGTCAAAATTAGTTATCTCGAAAGGGGAAAAAAAACCGAAGAAAAATCCAAAGAAACGGAGACTCATGAAAGTAGATCAACGGAAGCTCTACAATACACTCTACATCTACATATCATGCTCAAAAACCTACCTCGGTAACGTTAACGTTAACGCTAACCTAGCCGGTAACGTTATGTAATACATTAAAATTATGCATTTATCAGAAAATTGATAATGTTGCAACAAATATCAGTAATGGATTACTTAATGGGTACAATGGGCAACTCTGGAATTAATTTGAAGCATAACAAAAATAATCAAATCTCCAGCTAGTGTCGCATGCGACGGATAAACGAATTTCATTAAAACGCATGGATGCAACAAGTAGGGATCCGTGGATGCTCGTGTTGCATACGCACGGGAACGAAGGCGTTTTGTCTTCAGACACTGATCGCCTCACCGGCAGCGGCGCTCAAGTCAATGAGAAGAGTTAGACAAACTGTGACATTAGGACCTCACACGTTGATGTTAATACGTGACACGATGACACGTAGAGGTTTTGGAGGTACTTTCATTGATTTTATCGTAAAATCTCCATCATGAGCCACCCATGAACCCTTGTAGTCAAGCCCGCCGTAAGCGCCGAGCCGCGGGCCGCGGGGGAAATGGTGAGTGCCTGGACAGTCAAAACGCCTTCACTTTCAAGCGTATGCAACACGGACATCCATGGAGCCCGAATAGTTGCATCCAGGAGTTGTAATGGAAGTATTATGTTCGTCGCATTCGATGCGTCGCATGACTGAGGCCGCTTTGCTCTCACGCCGTAACTTAATTCCAGTGTTGCCTATTGCTCCGATGAAGTGAAGTTTTATTGATTTTTATCGTGACATTCTCAGTATACCGAATGATGATTTGATTGTTTAAATATATAACAACGTTACCATCCTAAAATGTGGGCTGCGACCTCTACCCTCTTTGATCTAAAGAACAACGAATGCAGCAAAGCTGTTTTATGTTCACGCCAGGAAAAAAAAATTCGAGCGCGCATCTCAGAATATTCGTTTTTTTTTGGGGGGGGGGGTCGAAAAGTTAGAAAAAAGTCCAGTCAGAAATGAAAATCAACCAACGGTTAATCCAGAGTCCTGTGCGAAGGGCCCGAAGCTTGTAGAAAATATGGCTTACGTTATTGATAACTTCAGGATCATCGAATTGGATAGAGCACCAGTGGACTGAGCTTAAAGAAAAACGAATCAACAATGACGTATTTAAATAAAGGAAGCCGGCATAAAGTTCAGCCATAAAATCCTCGGTAAGACGTTAACAAAGAGCAAGTAAATGTTTCCTCTCACGTTTTTCTTTATTCGGGTATTTGTGCTTTCAAACGACCCAAACGAATATATTCACTAGAATTTTGTACAGCCAAGCCTGAAAACTTCCTGGAAAATTCGTATGATTCGGGCCTCAACTAGAGTTCTCATGGCAGTGGCACGCGCTTCAACTTATCAGCCTTCAAAACTCGAGCAGGCAATGTGAGCGGCTTGGGAGCAATACAAGTTGCTGATCGTAATTTGGCCACGTTCAAAACGATCGCTCCGCTTTCGGCTTTCGTAAGATTTGTGAATCACTTCGAGTGCCTCATTGGTCTCAGTGCCTCAGTGGTCCGCATTCAGTGGACCGCCTTCAAAACTCAAGCAAGCAATTTGAGCGGTTTGGGAACAGTAAGAGTTGCTTGCTGTGTGTTGTTACGTTCAAATTGTTTCCTTAGTTTCCGTATCATTCCCGAATCATCGGAAACATACAGGAAAGCTTGGAGACTTAAATGCAGCGTAAAAAAGTAAACCATTTTATGACGTGACAACTTCGTTCGTTGAGTTAAGTTGACCACGACAGCATATGCGCATCTGAGAGTTGCCAGATTTCCTTTGATAAAACATGTAATTTTGACAGCATTCATCTTCTCCTTGAAATTTTCAGATATTTCAGATGAAATTACGTACAAAATTGTCCAAAAATTGTGGAGAATAATATTCTCAATTTTCCCACTTGATTCGGTTTTTAACGCAGGAAACTTGGCAACGTCTGACGGCTCATACGGCGTTCTTCCTTAGCACGGCAGCATGTTACTTTTTATACTGCCGTGCTAAGGAAGAAAGCCGTATGAACATTCGAGAGTTGCGAAATTTCCTTCGATAAAACGTTTCTTTCCGCGGTAGATTATGAATATTTTTCCTTGAAATTTTCAGGAACTTCAGGTGAAATTTCGCAAAAAACTATCTGAAAAATTGGAAGGAAAATACTCGTAAGTTTCCCAGGAAATTCGTGTTTCATAAAAGGAAATTTGGCAACGCCTGAAGGTTCATACGGCGATTTTCCTTAGCACGGCAGTGTAGGAGCAAACTTTTTCCGGCACCATGGCAACCTGGAGAAGATCAGCGACAGAGAAAAGGGGTCGAGAGTGGAGGCCCGAAAAGTCCCCTCTCTGAGATCCAGTCTAGTTTTTCTTGGTCCCTCCCTCAGCCCTCTACCCCCTTGCCCTCTCACTCCCTCGCCCCCTCAAGTTCCATTCGGACTCGTGGAACCGAGTGCCGGGTGCGAAGGCGAAGGTGCCCCCCGAAAGGGTTAGAAGTCGTATTCGCGGATCTGGGCAGCTCGGCTTGGTTGTATTTTTCTTTTAATTCCCTCTTAAATTTATCGCGGAGCCGTGCGGAGGATCAGTGCCCAGCATCTTCGGCACCGTTCCGTGCGGCCGCAGCAGCGGGAAGGAGCAAAAACAAGTTAACCTTGAGTTAACAATTCGTAAACATTTTCGATCCACACCCGCCACCCAACCCGGAGTCCCCGGTCAAGGGCGGCTTTCGTACTTCGCAGTTCCACAATCCGCATCTGGGGTTGGAGGGGCGGAGGGGGTGGGGAAAGGTGGGTGGAGGGAGGGCCGAGAGTGGGGCGAAATGAGGAATTCGCCTCATCCCGCTTCGTAGAATAATGATTTCCGTTCGTTCGCGAAGTAGCGAGGGGTTCTTAAGGTGAATCCCCGGCAGCGGAGATAAATTTTTCCGCGCAGGGGACGCTAACGCTGAGCTATGATTTTCGTGATGGTTTGTATTCCGTCCGTACCGTCTTGAAGCGAATTTTATTTAGAGGTTCGGTCCTACTTTTGTGCCCGAACCTCCGAACTGCCATTCTATTTAAGTTCAGAACTTCCGATTCGGTGACTAACGAATCGCGTAACGTGGTGGTTCTAAAAAAGGTTCGACCCATCGAAAACCAACGGATCTGATTTGTCAAGTCCGGTAACAACGGTGTCC